CCTATAGCCTTCGCAGTAGCCTGAGCAGCAGGCTGTCTCAGTGGAGGTCATTGCTTTGGGAGGATGAATCCATATTTAGGATCTGGTGACAGGGTGAGGTCATGATGGAGTTTGAGACTTGAGGGCACTTTATTCTTTCTTTGATCCTGTTGCATTTGCTGACACCTCTGTTTCTAGGGAACTCTTTTCAGGTGCTACAGAGTTAGGCAAACAAACTCTGCTCTCAAATAAATGATCACGGAGGAGGTGACCGTCACTGGAGAGAAACAATGGACATATTCAAAAGTAAAGATTGGAGGGATGGCATAGAGTTGGGATGCACAGATTGGGTGTTTGTTTAGAAACAAGGTCTTGATTACAGCATAGACTAATGACATCATGACCATCATGACCAGCATAACTTTAGTCTTAAATAGTAAAAAACTCTTCTTTTTTTTTTTTACATTTTATTCCTTTTCATTTATTTTGAGATTAATATAATTACATAATTTCTACCTTTCCTTTCCTCCTATCAATCCCTCCCATATACCCCCTGCTCGCTCATTTTCAAATTCATGACCTCTTTTTCATTAACTGTTGTTACAAGACCTTGTGTATAGATGATGTTCTTTAGTTAAGAGGAGTAAAGCTGGTGGGTGGGAGAGAGCTAGCAGGCAGGACCGGCAAGCCCTGGCAATTAAGCGGAATATGAAAGGCAGACGTAGAATGGTATCTAGTCTCCTGGACTAAAAAATGCTCTGAAAAAGGTATCACAAATGTGAAGTCATGCTTTGTAGAGATCCCGGGAGCTTCCAATAAGATAGTAGGTTAGCAGGAAAGCATTCAGAGGCAGGAAGGTCAGTTAGAGGTCATTCCAGCAATCAGTTTAAGGAGGGTGATGAGAATGGCTAGGAGGGAGAGCATGGAGGACACAGGAAAGCTGGAGGAAGGGAAATGAATGGCAGTCCTCTTGACAGACCTTAACTGTACCATTTTAGAGTTGGGAAGGCAAACTGCTCTGAATGATTCAGTCAGTGAGCAGGTGTTGGGGTTCAGAGTAAAACTTGGGTCTGTCTGACTCCAACATCACTCCACAGCAATGTTTAATGGCAGACACATCACAAGGCAGAAGTGATGGGCCTTGGAAGCTGGTCATTTGTGTGGGAAGAGATCGAGAGGGAGTTCAGACGGCAGCAGGCTTTGCAGCCTGGAGGACAAGGTAGAAAATGAGGACACTAACCCCCCAGGTGACGCTGGGGCAAACAGCAGATCTGTATTTAAGAGTGATGTGAGGACAGCCAAAAATAAATCTCAGCTCATTGGGGACAAGTACATTTAAAGAAGTAAGGTGCATGTTCAGGACTGACTTCCTGAACTGTCAAGGCTTTGCGTTGAAGGTCTAGGGTGAACTGGAATTGCCTTGGGTGTGGCAGAACTGAATGTGAGCCTGGGTTCTGTCTTAGTTACTTACTGGCTAAGGACCACGAGCAGGGAGCCTATTCACATTGCACTGAGCCTTTTCATCTGCAGAGTGGAAAGATCGTCCTGATCACCACAAACCCAGAGTTCGGTGAGAGTGGTGAAGGCACTTCAGGAAGTCCTGAGTATGATCTGGCCAAGCCTGAGAGGCTGGTTGCTTGGTTGCTTCATAGCATCCCTGAAACACTGTTTACCATCTGAAAATAGCCCATGAAGAGCCTGGTACAGGTCCTGTTCAGATCTGCTTGCCACTATTTTAATAAAACCTGGGATGTTACGGAGTGTGGCCTCTTTCTTTTTAGTTAGTTCTATATCCCGTCTTACATTGCCTCTTCTCTCCTCTTCAGGAGTTCGGGGCCTCTTGCCCATGCCACTCCATCATTGTTCATTCCACTTAGTGAGCTTGATGCTGCCTTAGGACCTGTGCTATGTGCTGAGGCCGCAGGATGGATACAATGCAAGTGAGGCATCTGTCCTGACTCTAATCCCACAGTGCACCTGTCAATGCCCCTGGGCGCCTCTCTCATGCCTGATCTTTCTTCAGGAGGTATTCATTCTTCTGTCTTCTCTTTGGCTGTAGAAAAGGACTTCTAATTCTAACAAGCAGGAGAGAGGCACAAGGGGGGGGGAGTGGGGAGGGGACTCAGGGAAGGGGCTTTACTCTGTGTCAGATACTGTATAGACATTATTACACTTAATTCTCAACTTAACTGTGGGAAATAGGTATTAACCACTCCTATTTTACAGATGATGATGACCCAGAAGCCTAAAGAGGCCAAATCCATTGTCCAAAGCCACACAGGGAGTAGAGACGAGCAGGGATTCACACTTAGACTGGTTTAATTTACTGTTCCTGTTAAGCTGTTTCTCCTCTATTCTCTCTGATCCTTCAGCCTTATTGGTTGGGCTGAGCCTTCCAAGGAAAAACTTCAGAGGCTGACGTCCTTACAGTGCTCAGGAGGCAAGGACTGCGACACAGTAGACTCAGTTCCTACTGCCCAGAAGGCTGGGCTGACAAGGAATCTGCTAGAATAGCTACCCCAGAGGCTTCTGGGAAAAGCCTTGTAAGACCACATTGCTGAGCTTCCAAGGACCCTGAGAGAGCTGGAAACTTCTGTGTGACACATGTTCAATGGGCCCCATGCCCAGCCCCTGGCTTTGAAGGACCTAGAGTTCAGGATTTCACACAGGCATTCAGGAATGAGAGATGGGAAGGGGCCCCTCGGCAGCAGCTGCTAAGAAGTTCTGACATCTTTCCAGGTCCCTCTATGCCTGACAACCTACACATGACCCTCTTCTCTCAGTCTCCTACCAGTTCTAAATAGCAGCATGGTTTGCACTACTCTGTTTTAGCCTGTTTTCTGTTGTGACCAGACTTTACCTCTAGCTCAATGGAAGAGGCTCATTGTGGAGTAGTGGAGATCCAGGCTGGTTTGTAAGAATGCAAAGTGAAGGCAAAGAAAGGATTTTCAGAATGCTCCCCTGGAAAATGCAGCAAGTGCACTTACCTCATAAGTCTTCAGAGAACATCCAATAAGGAAGCAGATTCGGAGGCGTCCAGCACCACACCTGGCACACCCCATGTATTCACCAAGCATTTGGTAAATGTATGACTGAATGCCTAACAAATGTTAATCTCCCACCTCCCTGTTTGGTTCTGCTCTTTCTATTTAGAACAATGAGCTGTGATTCTCCAAGGCAGGCCTTGAGTATGTCACTGAGGCACACTGACAAAACACAAGCTTGTCATATGCCCTGTCTGCTGTCCCTGTTGGGAAGGACAGGGGTGTGCCTAGCTAAAGGAGTCTCCTGTGCAAGGAAAAGGTGGTCTGCTTCCACTGATGAGGGCCTCGGCATCTCAGAAGCTGGCAGTTTGCAACTTGCTGGCTGCAACTTGGGAGAGCAAATGCACATCAGTTGTGTTTCAGAGCCCCTGAAATAAAGAGCAGAACGTCCCTTGCCCCAGGATGACCTGTGGGTGAGAACCAGCCAGAGATGAGCACATCGCCCCCCACCTTTCTTTCTTGTATAGTTGCCTCACTCTCTTTGTCAGAAATGCACCGGATCGTGCTCAGGTCTACCCATATGTGATTCTAGTCTGGGAAAGAAGCAGGCCAGATTACTTCTCAATAGGCTGAATGGCCTTGTGATAGGTGGACCAGAAGCCTCCATCTGGCTCACCTGTCTGGTGCTATCTTCTTCCTCCACGCTGAAAGCCTTTGCCAGCTTGGTGTCATAGGCATGACCTTATCCAAGAGCACTGTGGAGGAAGTGATCTGGCCAAGACCTCAACCAGGGCCACTGACAACCCCTGGACAGTCTTTTATTGTCTGTTTTGACAACACAGAGAAGTAGACCATTGCAATCCTGTAGTCTATCTTGTAAGTACCTTTTTCCCTCTAAGGAATGCTAGACATCAATGTAGTAAATATGCTATAATTCACAGATACTTATGTTCCTGTGTCTAGTGTTTAATGATATGGATGCTGCAAACTCCCATTATCTGACAGAAATGTAACCTCCTGCCTCATGTCATTTCTTTTCAGAGCCACAAATGAGAGATGATGTTGTAGAGCACCCAGCTTCAAACCCAGCACTCCCCTAAGGAAGGTAACCCTTCTTTCTTCATGATAGATGTCCTCTGATAATAAGCTCAGTACCTTCCAAAGGAAGTCATGGTTGGCAGCTCTCTTTAATAGAAAGCTTTCTTCAGCCTGAGCAGAAGTTTATCTTACTGGATGGTATTTCCTAGATTTGACTAAATTAACTCTGGCAACACAGCATAAATTTACTTCTTTTGTCCCATGATGTCCCTTAAACATTATAGAGACTGTAACCTTGCTTTCCCACCTCTACCCCTTACTTTTTATCTCAAGAAGAAACACCTTTACTCCCCTTGTCCACTTTTAATGGGAAGTGATTTCCACATACCTCTCCATGTTGGTCATATTTCAAATGGTCATAGCTGTCATTTTAATGAGCACATAAACTTTCTGACTGGTGTTTCCCACACTTAAGTTCATCAAATCTTCACAACTGCTAGAGTGAGATGGATATTACTATTCCCATTTTACAAGTGTGAAAACTGAGATTCATGGAGGTAAAAATGACTGTTCTATATTACGCCAATGTTGAGAAATAAAGCCAGGGCTTGAATTCTGAATTAGAACCTGGATCGCCTGTCTCCAAGTTTCTAATAAGTCGAGAGGCTTTAAAAAATACAGTACCCATGTGTGGTCCCAACAGTGGACATGGAAGAAAGCAGATCTAAGCTATAGTCTTATTTTATGCAACCTACCCCTGTCCATGACATCTAAAGTGATGCAAAGCTGCCTCGTGGCGGTTGTGTTGAGCCAGATACACTCTTAAGCTCCCCAGAATTCTGACACAGGAACTGCGGAGAGTTCAAATCTGACCATTCTTCTGCATCTTGACAGAGCCCCTGACCTCAAAGAGATTAATTCTAATTGGAGTTGGCTGGTTGTCCTCCAAGGAGTAGGAAACCAAAAGGGAAGGGTGCCAAGAACAATCAGAAACAGAGGTGCTGCACAAACCACTTTATTTGGACAATAAAAACCCAGGAAGGTTGCTATATATACAATGGAACATTCATAGCAAACTAACATATGGCTCTTTGTTACCATTTCTGAAAGCCAACATGTAAAAGAGAAAACAAGCTTTGCTCTCGATTTTTTGCAATAAACTTTGAAAATCGCCGTCGCAAATGCAAAGAATGTTTAACTGGAATTGTGTGCTGAAGGCCCCGTCTCCCTGGAGCCTCCCTCCCTCTCCCTATCTCCTAATCCTCATTTCCGGGAGGTCATTTTAATTAGCAGGCTGTCATGGTGACTCAGCCTGCTGCTTCCACAGACAGGAAGGGAGTAGACTCCCCTGGACCCATTCATCACACAAAGGCCCTTTAAGCGTCAGGAAAATGCACAGTATTTGGCTTGCTTCGCCTCAGGAATTGCTTCTGCTGTCGTTTTCTTTATCACTCCTACCTGCCTAAGGTGCAGTCCTTTGTCTCTTGCAGCCCCCTTACCTGGTAGTCACCCTGTCCTCAGTGCAGATTATCAGCACTCACCTCCCTTGATTCTTGTCACCAGGGACTGCAGACCTTATCCACAGTAGTTCTTCGGAATGAATGAGCAATGTTTTTTTGTCTGGGGAGCTAGAGTTTCGATTAAACTACCCAGGAAGTTGAAAGATGGCTTTCAGAACAGCTTTCTGAAGTTGCATGCTGGGGCTTGAGGGAGTGAGAGAGCATGAGGCTTATAGATACAGTGACCATGTTTCTAAGACCACTCTGATTTCAAAAATTCTACCCCATTGTTCACAACAGCCTGTTTGCCTTTGGCTTGTATGTGTGTTGCTGTTGCTTTGGATTAGAAAATATGGAGACGGCATTCCTAAGCTAGAGACATTTGCAACCTGTTTTAAGTAAAGTCACCTGTGCAGTGACCATACAACTTTAAAAGGTGAAGAAGGGCTTACAGAGACCTGAGACCTGTGGGACCTCTTGAGAGAGGTGTGTACGTTTTCCTATGCTTGCCTGGCTCCACTCTCCTACTCCACTCAGCCTCCGAGTTGAAGGCTCACAATTGATTTCCCATTGGTAAAAGGAAAAGAAATCAATGATAAAATGTCTCTCTTTCCCCTCCTCCCTTTCACTAGCATGTGCACAATGCTGAAAACCCCTGTCTTGGAAACCAGGGAATGGCACTTAATTTCGTGCCCCAACAGGAAATTCGTGTTCCTGCCCCCACAATGCCTCCAGGTGCCATGTCTTTAAAAGGGGGTTGAAGAGTCTTTGTGGTTCAGTGAGCTCTTCTTGTCCCCTTTGCTGTTGGGGACATTGCTGGCTGAGCCCCGCAGGGATGGGTGCTTGTAAGGAGTGGGGGTTTCTTTCCTGCAAAAGGGAAACAACAGAAAGAGAAGACAGCCCATATACACACGGCAATGAATTCATCTGGTGCATGTCCATCTCCCTCACCGGACAGGGACCTCGTGGGTACAATGACCTTGCCATCTTCTTCTCTGTGTCCCCAGAACCCAGTCCAGGTTTGGTTTACAGCAGTCATAGTAGCTCAGTGAATGTCTGTAGGATGGGTGACTGGCCAGCCAATGGATTGGTGGATGGATGGATGGATGGATAGATGCATTGCTTCATTCTAGGCCTGGAGAAATTTAAGTCTCTTACAGCTCCAATTTGGTATCTTGCCACTTGTATTCCAACTAATTCAACACATTACACATGGGAAGGGATGGGAACACAAAAATCTACAGTTTGGAAATTTGGAAGGAGGCCAACAGGATTATGCTACCTGTCTTGGAGTCTTATGGGCTTGGAAAAATCCCTTTTGAATATGAGAGAGAGAGAAAGAGAGAGAGGGAGAGAGAGAGAAAGAGAGGGAGAGAGAGAGAGACAGAGAGAGACAGAGAGAGACAGAGAGAGACAGAGAGAGAGAGAGAGAGACAGAGAGAGAAGAGGAGGAGGAGGAGGAGGAGGAGGAGGAGGAGGAGGAGGAGGAGGAGGAGGAGAAGGACCAGGAGGAGGAGCAGGAGGAAGAGGAGGAAGAGGAAGAGAGGAGAAGGAGAGGAGAGGAGAGGAGAAGGAGAGGAGAGGAGAGGAGAGGAAAGAGAGCTCTTGGGCAGCTGGGACACCATTCTGTCATTCTGTGTATGGTGTATGACCACCAAGGTCTTCAGAATCCCAGTTTTATTATTCAGCCTCATTACAACAACTCATAATGTCTCCAGGCATGTCTTCCTAGCATGCCTGGAGATCTCAGAGAGCAGATGTGTGTCTGTTTTACCTCTGTGTCCCCGAACTCAGCACCCAGCACCCAACACAGTAATTTTACCACCATCATTCAGTGTTTCTGTTCATATAAGAGATAATGAGCTCCTGTGGAGCCAGAACCAATTTTATTCACTGTTGCATTTTACCTTATTCAGTGCTTTATTTGTTACATTTTTGACTGACAAATTGATTTATATAGTCACTGGATTTAAGATTTATTCTCAGCGGGAAGACTGGTCTTAATTTTAAGTCCCAAAGAACTGCTCTGAATTCCCAAGTTGGCTGACTTCAGAAGTGTGGCCTTGGGCAAGGAACTGAACTTCTCTGAACTTCATTTGTACAATGAGAATAAACTATTCCAGTCTTCCAGGAGTGTCGTGAAGTTAAATTAGAGAATATGAATGAGCACCCCAGGAAGCTTTGTTAATATTCCGATCCGCGCCTTGAAATCCCACCCCTTGGTGCCGCCCTGTGTCCTACCATAAAAGCTTCTTTTTAAGGAAAAACTCTGCCCCTTCCTCTCTCTCTCTTCTGCCTTTTCCTCCACAAGGTGTGCACCCCTTGACCTCTCTCTCTCTCTCTCTCTCTCTCTCTCTCTCTCTCTCTCCCTCTCTCTTTCACTCTTCTCCTCTTCTTTCCTATCTTTCTCTTCATTTCTCTATTATAATAAACTCTCCACATGGATGCAGCGTCTGGATTGTGAATTACTGGCCGCCGCTGCTGCCACCATGCCTGCATGGGGTGCATCTGCCCAGCCTGCCACTGCATCTGCCCAGTATGCCAGCAAGTTTTCCCTCAGGTGTGGTATATCCTGGCCTGGCCAGCTGGGGGTTCCCCACGTGTGCATAATTCATAACAGGCTTCCCTTCCCTACTGTAATTTGTTGACTGTGGCCCCAGAAACTCTGGACATGTCAAAGATACAGACAGACAGTGATGCTGTAGTCAACTTGTTTAGATTTAATGGAGATAATAACTGTGCAAAGCAACCACTCAAATTGAAGACTTCAACATGAAGTCACAAGTGGTGAATGATAGAAATAGAAATGGAGCGGACTGTTTGAATTAGGACTGAAGATGTGTCTTGTGGCCATTGTGCTCTGACCTTGGCACAACAACTTTTATTCATGGTTGATGAGTCACAAGCCAAATGAAGATGGAGTAGGTGTCAGGACACACACAAAGGACACCTGGTCTTAACATACCTTCCCCCAGTCTCAGTGCCTGAAAACACATGTTCCTTGAAGATTTGGCCAACATGAGGAGACTGTCTAGTGCAGGTGAGATGAACCTAGACCCAGTGCCCCTTAACACTCTAGTCCGACAAAGCTCATGCTTGGACTGCCACCTACAGATGGTGTGATCTTCTCAAGTCTGTTTTGTTCTCAGCACTAGCAATAGAAGTCAGGGCCACACCCATGCAAGTCAGTTGCTATAACCATTATCTGCAGCCCTGAGACAGTATGATCTTAAAGGAGTCCCTTCCTGGATGTAAGAATTTAAGGAGGAGAATGCTTGTTCTTCCTGCCTTGTAGACTCTGGTGAAAGGAGAGTTGGAGAAGAGGTACTTAGATTACAAGGTGCCATCCATCCATAGGTCATTGAGGAGAATAGTTCTTCACACCTCAGGCATAGGACACAAGGAGCATAGGACACAAGACAGATATGTTTTTATAGGACAAAGAAGATGTAAAGTCCCTAGAAGACAGGCTTGGGTTTATTGCTATGGACACAGCTATAAGTAGATGATGTCATGGCACTGAGGTGTGCAATGGCTAGAGAGGGGTATGAGAATGCAGAAACAACTTTTGGAGTGGCTGGAAAGGCAAAGTGTCACTATAATAAAAGATGAGGGCACAGAAAAGGAAAGGAGGCCCTAAACAGCAGATGGCTCATACCTCTGTTCCCTTCTCAATTTCCTTAGATTCATCTGCTTTGGAAGTCAACTTTTCAAGGCTTCTTTAGCTCTTTGGGCACCATTTAACACCTACACCACCATTTCCTGGGAGGTTGCACATCTACATATGTCATAGGACTTGGAGTTGGATGTGTTGGCTTTATTCTCTAATTCCTAAGCCAGGCTAGGTGTGGAGCAGGTGCTTCTGGGGTGAGTGGTGAACGGAAATGGACTTGGAGTCTTATGTTTACTATCATTTGTCACTTCTCTGACCACATTGGTCTTACCAGTGCTGCAGGTTTTGTTGGGTCCTGTTGCATTTAACCTTATTCAGTGCCTTATTTTTTATAATTTTGACTGACAAATTGATTTATATAGTCACTGGATTTAAGACTAAATCTTGTGATAGCATCATTTTCTTTCTATTCCATCAATCTCAACTCTTCATGTCCTTAAAAAACCAAGTTCAAATCTCACTTTCTCCCTGAAGCCTTCTTGGAATATGCCTGTCAGCTGTCAAGGACTTTCCAGGTTGTGTGTGGGAATAATAACATCTGGTTGGCACCTCCCCATAGGGCAAAGAGCTTGAGGGAGATGGTTTGTGAATACTCCCACCCAGTTCTACTACTGTATCTTCAGTGTCAATGACTTCACAACTTATTTAGGCCTTAACATATACAAGCTCTGCACCATGCACTAAGGATTCAGGAATGAGATTGTCCAATGGAGAAGCCAGACCTGCCTGCAGAGATACCAGACAAGACAGGGTAGGGGGTGTGTATGAAAGGCAACCAGGAGCACAGCTGAGGAGATAGTTCTATCTTAGCAGGAAGAGGGACAGGAAGACAGAATGTGACATTTGGAGAAAGTTTGAATGAGTTAGTAGGAATTCAGCACCTACAAAATGAAAGGGATAAAGGGAAAGGATTAAAGTTATAGAAGCATGAAAATGGACAACGTGTTCAGGCTGATGCATATGGCAGGAAGTGGTTGGAAGCAGGTATTACCGAGGTCAAGGGTATGGTAAGAGGCAGGATAGGTGTTCCCAATGTCAAGGGTTTGGAAGGGGGCAGGATATCAAATTAAAAATATTGGTTAAGGCCTCGAGTAGCAAAGAAAAGGAGTTGGAATATTACTTTGGAGGTAACAGGGAGCCATAAAGATTTGTGAGTGAGGCCACATCTGAAATGTAGTTGTGTATACTTACTATACACTGCTAAGTGCTGTTATATTATGCATGTTCCCAATGTGCTGATGCTAACTATGCTCCCCTAGGACTCATCACAGGCCTAGCACAGGATGTGCTCCTTATATACATATATCATGATGTCACTTTGCACAGTCATGCTGTGGATATCGTTCTGTATAAATAAAACACTGATTGGCCAATGGCCAGGCAGGAAGTATAGGCAGGACAAGGAGAGAGGAGAATTCTGGAAAGTGGAAGGCTGAGTCAGGGAGACACTGCCAGCCGCCACCATGACAAGCATCATGTGAAGATGCTGGTAAGCCACGAGCCACGTGGCAAGGTATAGATTTATAGAAATGGGTTAATTTAAGATATAAGAACAGTTAGCAAGAAGCCTGCCACGGCCATACAGTTTGTGAATAATATAAGCGTCTGTGTGTTTATTTTATAAGTGGGCTGTCGGACTGCTGGAGCTTGGTGGGACCCAGAGAGAAAACTCCAGCTACACAGTCAGGTGCACCTGGTGCTCAGGTGCAAAGCCTGAGTCTACTTGGTCAATACCAGCTTACATCCGTGTTCATGCTCTGCCCACTCACAGAAGTATTCTTGGTCCATTAATTTTCTCTGTCTGATATTATCCCCTTTGGTTTTTAGCTCTATGGCTGTGACACTGGTTAAAAATAAATGTAGGGTCTCAGCTTTCCTAATCAATGCTGAGCCTGAGCTCCCATGCCCACATTGCTGCCTCTCCCCAGGACTTCTTCCTGAGGGGCGGCCTAGCACCCCAGATGCCAATAGCCTTTCAGCAGCATATGGGTAGAAAGTGACATATGGCAATTATCCGTGGAGATGGGAGAAAACAAAGATTAATTTTGAGTCAAAACATGTAATTTTCCTTTACAACCAGAACTGCTCTTTCACTTAAGCTATTTGATGCTTGGGTGGAAAATAATACAAAAGCAGGAAGCATTCAAATTCAAATAGGACCCTATGTTCCCGGGAATTCATTCTTAAAGGGTTACTTACCAATTTGGAGTTGAGTGCTGCTCACAGGGGCTTACCCAGGCCCAGAAGGAGGGGTATGGGGGTAGGAAGGGAGCTAATTTGTTTTTTTCCTAATTTAAAATTGGGTGTATTTGCCTCAACTCTTCAAATCCTAGTGAGCAAAGAAGTCTTTGCTGAAGAGGACCTCAAAGCTCAGGGTCAGAGATGCCATGAACAGAGGCTCTTGGGAGGAAAACTTCCTTGCATCATTCTGACTCAATTTCAAGTCCCCTCCCAACCTAGAAGATCCTCTCCAGACTGAGGTTGAGTATCCCCCAGAGGGGTCAGGCCCTGGGCTCCAATCCTGGCTCCAACTCTGGACCTTGACACCCATTCTGCCCCCTAGGTCTCAATGTCTTCTTTTGCCATGGTTGCTGATGTACCCCCAAACTGTTAGCACTACTTCACTGATCTGTGACCAGGACACATGCAAGGAAAAAAAAATAGGTGAAGGATGAAGATAATTTTTATGCAGGCTGACAGAGGACCCAAAAGAGATAATCCCTAAATTAACTTGTAAATGAGATGCTAAGAATTCTTTTGAGTTTTACAAAGCTTTAAATGTTTAAGAACTTTAGCCAATCAAGAGTGACTTCTAAGAATGAAGCAAGCACTTTCCTCTGGAGGTGAACTCCTCAAAGGCAGGGTCATACCTTAATCTCCAACTCATCCCATACCTCCCTCCCACCAGAGCCGGGTGCAACGTGCTGTCTTCCATAGGTATGTGAGTGATGGAATGGATGAGTGTATCCATGTAAATATGTGCAGGGCAGGCTGGTACTGTAGGGGGTAGAGAAAGAACAGACAATCCTCCTGTAGGGGTTTTTAATACCCCAGAATGGTGGATATAAAGTCCCCAGATGATCTATTCTCAATCTGAGACAGGGTGTCATTGGAGCATGCAGCCATGAAAATCAGGCCTTAGAGAGGTACAACTCACTGAATGATGGAGCCTGGGCCAATCCCCAAATAAGTCAGGGGACTTGTCACAGTCTATCATAAACTGGCAAAAATCGGAAACCAAAAACATTTGGAGGCATCTACTGTGTGCTGGGCATTGTTCTAAGCTTGTACCTAATCTTTAGAACCATATTAAGTGGTTGCTATTATTTCTGTTTAATAGGCAGGTGTAGAAAGGTTTTAAGAGGCCAAGAAACTTGCCTAAAATCCCATTGCTCATGAGAGCCTGAGACAGTCCACTGAGGGAGCTCTATTGCAGTAGAGTTCAGATGGTTTTAGAATAGGAAACCCTATCTGTGCTATAGACTCTGTGACTTCAGGCAACCTTCTCTTCCTTTCTGGGTCTCCTTTTCTTAAAGTGCAAGACGAGGCATCCACAGACTAAATAAGATTAGATACACAAAGTACTTCATACAATAAGTAACTGTGACTTATATATTTATTATTAATAATAGATTATGGAGGAAGATTCATTGTTCTAAGCTCCTGAGGCACCAAAGAACATAGCGAACATCAATGGAAAGAATGGTCTGGCAGGAGTAGAGAGTTGGACACTGCCACGTCGTTCCAGGAGCCTGGACCACTAGGGGAACAGGAGATGAGGCCCAGAGGTAGGGCAGTACTAGAACATTCCAGATGCCACTGGATGTCACTGCCCTGATGTTCATTAAGTGCTCTACCAGCACACATGGGAACTCCCAGAACTTCCAGCTGTTGGTCAGCCCTCAGACAAGATGGATGATCCCATCCCAGTCTTCTCTCCTCCTTGGATCTACAAGTGGGTCCATCAGAGGAGCAAGATGGGACTTCTTAGGGGTGTGTCCTCTGTAGCCCAAACCTTCAAGTATTAAGGGAAGGGACTATCACTGATGGGATACTCATACACCTGATACTAGTGTTTCAATGTAAAGCCCACAATAACCTGAAAAGTGTGTACAACAGTGCCTGATTTACAGACAAGGGGTCTGAGGAATTGGAGTTCATTTGGGAACCTTGGAGGATGAGTGATCATATGGAGTGGAATATGTAAACAGCCAGGCTAACTTAGATCAGTGGCTGATCTTGGCTCTCTAGCAATGCCCCATCCCTGGAGATTTTTATGATGGGCCTGAAATGAGATGGCCCACCATGCATGACTATACTGTTATGTCTGCAGATTGGAGCTCAGCTGTTTAGTTTACTGCATTGTGAAAGCAGACCCTGAGGCATCATTCACCCTGACCAACCTGGTGAGTCAAGGTACTTCCTTGCTCTGGACCATGGGAGGCTGTTTGGCAATCTGGGCTAACATCCCAGAAGCTAGAGGAGATGAAGCTTCAGGGATGCCTGTGCTTAGGAAACACCTTCTGGGCCCATACTGATTCTTGTGGCAGAGCTAGGGTTGCCCTTCCTGTGGCACAGGTGGGAAACTGAGGGGCATCAGAAAACTAAGAGAAGCTTCCCTGAGCACAGACCCAGTGAAGCAGGACCTGAGCCTAATTGCTTGGCTCTACCACTTACCGAAGCCTTGGCATGGGCACTGTCATCCTTTCAACCAAGGAATTCAGCCGGTAATAGTCTAGAAATGTTCTCGCCACATTCCTCCCCAGTTTCATATCTGCAGGTGTGTGTTAAGAAGCAACTTTGAAAGGAGATTGAGCAGGATGAAAAGAGGCCTAGTTATAAAGAATAAAAATGCAAATAAAGCCGTGATAAAGATGGCATCATCTCTCTCCAGTCTAGGGGTTTGGCGGCATTGTCTTTGTCTTCACAAAACCTTCAGTGATAATTGTGGTCCTCATTTCAGGGACAAGGAACTAAAATGGACAGAACACAAGTAACCATACCCCTAAATCTGTGTACCAAGCTTTTAGGTACACTGGGATTTTCCAGTCTGACCTCAAATAGTTCGGAATGAAGCCTGATGAGCAAGACACAAAGCCAAGAGACCCTTTGCTGAAAAGAGCAGGGTTTGCCTGACCTTCAAGGACCAGGCATCTCTCTTGAGAGCAATCTCAGGAAAACTCTCTGACTCTAAATAGAATCCCATTTCCCCTTGCTATTTGGCAAATAATAAACCCCCAGGGTATAGATTGATAGCCTATTTGTCAAATCATAAATTCCTCAGGCAAGGAGAAAGCTCCAGTTCTATACTAGTATTAACACCCTGGGATCAATTAATACAACAATTGTGTATCTACCTTATGCCATATCCACATCTCTGGGGTTCTCTGCTATTTCCTTTGCCTGAAGGACCTCCCTAACTCTCCCTTAGCTAATATATAGCATGGGTTCTCCAATTAGCCACTATCTCTTCGTTAGATTTTCCAGGCTCTTCCCTGCTATCATCCCAGGGCTGAGAGTGTCCCCTTGTTCCCTACCACCATGGCTTTAGAACTGACCTCATTCAGAGTATGTGTCATTTCTCATAGAGTAGAAATTAAGTGTTTACTGACAGTGGGTCCTCCACCCCACCCCCATCAGCTACAAACACCCCAGCTGCCAACCTTCCCTCTGAGACTTCTCATATCTTGATTTTGTCCACCTCTTTCCATCCCCTAGAATAGGTCAGCATCACCTTTCCCCTGGGCAATTGCCATCCTGTCCTCTGGGCCTCCTGTCTCAGAATAGCCCTCTATAGGATGTTTTCAATAGTGAAGTCAGGGGCTGTTTTCTCTAGTGCAGACCCAATAGTGTTACTCAGTGACTAAAACCCTTCTGTGTCTTCCAGTTGCTGTTCATACTTGGCCCTTAAGTAGGTTCTCAGCTCTCCTCTTGCTACCTCCTGCCTCCCACCCTTCTGCAGCTCCTCCTCTTCTAATCCTGTAACTCTTAGGTCTTTGTTCACCATGCATCCTACTAGACCACCATGCCAAGCATGCCTTATAGGACCAGATCCTTCTCAGCCTCCAGACCTACATCCAGTTATCACTTTACTAGGAATATCCTCCTTGGTGCCTTTGCTGGGACAGGTTTTCCATGGTATCTTTGTATAGTTCTCTGCCAGTCAGACTACTCAGCAATACTGAATTTCAGCCAGCCCTTCTTTTCAATAGTCCCTCTAGCCTAGACAATTTATGGAGAAAAGATCATCTTTGCTTGACTCAATCATCTAAATACCTATATGCCTGCCTGGCAGTAGCATGAAAAGAAAATGAATAATGACACCCAATAGCTAAGCAGTGCTTAGTATGTGCTAGGCAATCTCATAACAATCCAATGAGAGATGTCTATTATTGTTCCTATTGCTCAGACAGGGTAAGTGACTTCCCCTAAGACTAGATACCTTATAAATGCCGGAATTGGGATTTAAACTCAGGCCTTGTTTCTCTGGAAACTACACCATTTCACATTTGTATCTATCTTTCTCCTACCTGATAAACTATCCAGTGGAGGAGATTCACAGCCTTGACCCAGGAATATGTGGAGCTGAGGCATGTAGGGTGACATGCACAGAAGCAGCAGCCTGAGGCTGCTAGTCCGAGGGAGTCTTTGGAGAAGGATTGCTCCTAGCTGGACTATAAAGACAGGGCAGCTAAAGAGGCCTTCAGCCAAGAGTGCAGAAATGGTTTGCCATTCACACATGCATCTAAACAATATTTTCTTTATCTTTGTTGGGCTGTGATAGGAGAAGGCACTTATCCAATGCCACATAGCTGATAACGGTAGAATCAGGAGTCACATCCAGGCAAGTCTGATTCCAGCCTTTGAGTTTCCACTGCCCTGGGCTGTTTCTCAACTTGAAGGCACCTTTTCTGTCAAAGCCTGAGTCATCCCAGGTCAGAATGTGGTAGGAGGAGAAGAAACAGCAGGCACCGTGTTTATGACAGTGAGCCGCACTGCAGGCTTGCTGTGCTCTGGGGCTGCTACCTGCTTTCTTTCTCTGGATATTTCTGACCTTCTCTGTCCCCTCTCTGAAAAGTCCACAAGCTGGCACTGAGCATGGCCTCTCTGACTAGCAGCCCCCAGAGGCTGTCTCGTGGCCAGGGCCTGCAGAGACAAGCTGGCTGCTTGAACCCAGACAGTCTCTAGTTGGCTCGGGGAGACCGAGTCATGGTTATGTGTGTTGAAAGGAATAGCTGCAGGGCACGGGAGAAATGAGAGGTCCCTGTGGACCGAGCTGGTAAACTGCAGCAGACATTTTTGGAAGCAGATGTGTCTAGCCCAAATCCTGGTTCTGCCACATGCTATGGAGAGAATAGATTTTAATTTCCAAGGATGTCTGCAACATTGTCTCTGGTCTCACATGCTCTTCTAATATGACCTTGATACTCCTTCCACTGAAAGGAATAGTCTTTATGTTCTTTGCCCTTGAATTTTCACAGACTTTAAACTGGCCTCTAACCAAAAGAATGACACAGTGGAAGTGACATTGTGACAGACTTGCATGTCAAGGTCAGATAAAGCAAAGTAATCGAACCTTGTGTTGTGGAGTACTCAAGCTAGGGTCCCAAGCTTGCAGACAAGCAGACTGACTGCCCCAAGGTCCTGGGACTATGCACAGAGGATAGACTCGTGGTCAGCCTTCACTTCTATAGCACTCTGTCATTCCAGTCCCAGCCACTGTTTGCCTACAACTGAATCAGACTCCTTAAAACACCCTCCCTCTGAGGCTCACCCAAATGTCTGACCCACAGAAAACATGAAGGGATAGCATTGTTTTCAGTCACAGATTTTAGGGGAAGAGTGTCTAACACAGAAATAGAGAACTAGACGCCAAGTGACCTTGCACAAGCCACTCCATCTCCCAGAGCCATCTTGTCTTGTCTGTGAAATGCCTGCTTCACAGATTTGCTGGACAGCAGTGTGTGGCCAGGTGTAGTTGGAGAGTAGCACAGGGCTGATTGAATGGTGAATGAATGAATGGGTGAATAAATGAGGGAGTGAGAAGCCTCATCTCTCCCTGACTGTCTATACTAAGAGCCAGACCCGAGGCACCACAGAAGTAGTTGCCTTGCTCACCAACAAAGGAGACTACAAAGGAGTTAGTTGGGCTGCTCAACAAAACTGGAGCTAATCACTTTGGATGGGCTCTGCTGAAAAGGCAGTTCTAAAGGTGGATCTTGTCTAGGAAAGACCTCTTTCCCTTCCCCCCTCTAGCCACAAAGCCTTATTCATTCCAGAATATTTCTGACACTGGCCCTGATTGAGTGAAGGAGCAGGACAAAGGTGAAGGAGAGTAGAGATTGATTGAACATTTTCAATTAAAACAAGATGTCGTGGAAGACAGATTTAAGATCCAGGTAAAGAGAGGCAATAGTTTTCTTGGCTGGGCCATTTTCAATATATTGCAGTATTAAGAGAGGAAAAACTGGGGTGAATGCTCTCAGCTATTCATTATCTACAAAAATCTTGGGATAGTCTGTATGCTGAAATCTCTTCCATCCTCAATTTCAATTCATCGGTCTGTTTCTCACAGACAGCAGCAGGGAATGGTCAGCCAACAGGGCAGGTGGGCCTGGGAGCCTAAAGTGCAGAGGATGGAGGATGGATTCAGCTGGGGTGGTTGGAAATTCGGACTAATCTGGCGACTTCTACCAAGAACTATCTTGGCATAGAGTAGCTCTAGACCCCCGTTTCATGGGGCTCTTTAACAGGTGATGGGGGTTAGATGCATTCTATGATTTTCATCCATCCATCCATCCATTATACATGCAAGCATTGATTCAAACACTTATTGGGTCTTCCTTGGGCTTAGTTGAGATGAATTAGAGAAATCCACTTTCAAGTCTAGAGGAGGAAAACAGCCTACCCCAGTTAATATATCCCCAAGCAGGTGGTTAGTTACACTGTCGCCTTGACAAAAGCAACTACTAGAGTGTACTGTGCAATGCAGTTACTGTCACCAACATTCACCACAGCTTGACAAGACCAAAGCACGAGTCTACATGTATTTCACAGATAAGAAAGTAGTAATCTGGGCTTATGTTATTAACCCAGAGTCTCACTCTTTGAAAGTGATAGAGGCAGACTCAACCCCCTCCCCCCAACCCCGGGTCTTCTCAGCATGGGTACTGTCTCTGCTCTGGAATGTGATAAAAGATCCAAACACAAAACGCTCTCACCCTGTAGAGGAAGACTGAACTCCAAATGGAAAAACCATGAAAGGCTTCATGGAGGTAGATATGTAAGGAAGATTTGAAGGACAAAGACAACCTGAAAGAGAAAGTGGGCTAAGAACACAGCCCAATGGCAGCTCATTTGCCTAGCAAGGCCCAAGGTTCAGTCTTTTCTCCTTCCAAAGAGAGGGAGTGGTGGAGGCACGTGTCAGCAGAGGCACAGGTGTGGCCAGGGACCACGACATGACCCGAAAGACAATAGGGAGGTCCGAGTCTCGCCTAACTGAAGTGCAGACTGGAAAGTAAGGCTGGGATGTGGCAGGGGCCAGACTCACCATGGCTTTAGCTGAAAAATTAAGGAACTCAAACTTCTATTCTGAGTGCTGGAGAGATGGCTCTATTGTTAAGAGCACTGGCTGCTCTTCCAGAAGATCTGGTCATAATCCTAGTACCCATACAGTGACTCACCACTACCTACAGTTCCAGTTCCAGGTGATATGATGCCCTCTTCTGGCCTCTGTGGGCACTGCAGATACATGGTGCACAGACACACATGCAA